AAAAAAAAAAAGGTTGAGAATTTAGAGGGTTAATATGTTGTGGGGTTGTTAACCACTGTCATAAAACAACATGTGTACTCCTGTTCCATGAGAAACTATTTGTTTTGTAAGCCTTCACCTGAAGTACAATAAAATATTAAAAAAAAATAAAAACTGCCCAGGCCCTACCACAGATCAGTTAAATCAGAATCTCTGGAGATGGGCCCCAGGCATTAATATTTTTTAGAAGTTTCCCAGGTGCCAGGATTGAGACCCACTGATGTAAGGGCTTATCTAAGAAACGTAAACCAGTATAGTAAGTACAGGTGGGATTACTCAGCAGCTAGTAAGTTTGCTGGCTTTGGTTTCATTGCAAACACCTAGAGTCTCAAGACCCCTTTTTTATTAATACGGGTCCTGTATCTGAGGTTCTCACCTGGAAGTTGTTCGTCAAAATCATCTTTGGAGGTGTTTAAAAATACTGATGCCTGTTCGGAAGAAAGGCCTGGCGATCTACTTCCTAAAAATCAGCCATTGAAAATCCTGTGGCACACAGTTCTGACACACATGGGGTCACCATGAGTTGGAATTGACTTGACAACAACTGGTTTTGGCCATCCTCTCTATTTCCTCCGGAGCCTTACCCAGAGCGGCGCTAGCTACAGCCCTTCCCCTGGGGAGAGAAATGCCTCAAAGATGGTTCCACTCTTGTGCTCCTAACAGTGTATGTAGTTTTGAAAACATGGGCATTTGCAACAAGCAGACCTGAATGCAAGCCCTAGTCCTGTGGTGTCTAGCGGTGTGACCTGAAGCAAGTGTCTTCACCTCTCTGAACCTTAGTTTCTCTTCTGAAAGATAGGGATGATCATGGTGCCCACCCAGGGGGTCATTGCAAGGTATCTCTGAGATGATGCAGAGAAAGCACATATCCCAATCCCTGGGCAAAGTGCTTACAGAGGGGTTTCCCTGAGCAAAACAGGCTCCTCCCCTTACAGGGCAGCTGTCCTTACAGATATACAGCACAAATGACCACCATTGCTTGGAAAGAAGAAAGTATGAGGACTGTCCAACATGAAGAGGATGTTGAGAAAACTCTTCATTGGCTAAGAATAAAGAGATCTCACAATCTTAGGTTGGAAGGAAGCTTTGAAGTCATCAAATCCAGTCCACTGCTCAATGCAAAAACCCCCTCTGCCAACTCTTCAGTCAAAGATTAGACTGGACTATGGAACATAAAATGATACTCGTGAAGAGTGTGTTTCTTAGTTCAGGTAGATACATGAGACTAAATGGGCAGCTCCTGTCTGGAGGTGAGATGAGAAGGCAGAGAGGGTTAGGAGCTGGTTGAATGGACACGGGAAATCAGGGTAGAAAGGAGGAGTGTGCTGTCACAGTGTGGAGAGGGCAATTAGGGTCACATAACTATGTATAAATTTTTGTATGAGAGACTAACTTGAATTGTAAACTTTCACTTAAAGTACAACAATAAAATTTAAAAAAAAAAAAAAAATACTGATGTCTGAGCCCCTCCGGCCTAAATTGAAATTGAACTGAAATGTGGAGGAGTAAGACTTGCTGTTAAAATTATATCTTTATAGTAAACTAACAGAATGGCAATTCACATTTAGATCAGTCTTGACTATGATATTTTTTGCTACAGTGAGTAAGAGTTGATAAGTATGTTAAATATTAAACAGACCATCATGCATGTATAGAGTTTTGTCTATTTTTTAAGGCAGTTTTTACACATTTCTTTAATTCTGTATACTTCTGGCTACCTCTTCAGCACACTGTTGATTCTTGTGCATCTGTTTTTTCTGTTAATGTGTAATCAATTTACATTATCGTTTTTATATATCCACTGTATTTGAGTTTGCTAATATTTTATCTAGAATTTTTACATCTATTTTTATAAGAGAGATTGACCTATTACTTTCTTATAATGTCCTTATCAGGTTTTGATACCAAAGTTATGCTGGCCTTATAAAATTCAGTCTTATTCCTTTAAAAAACTATTTTAAATTTACTTGTTTAAAGTATGTAGCCGTTGTATACGTAAGGTTTTCTATCTCTCTGGCTGCTCCTTCTCAGGTGAACTTCCTCTATTTTCCTGACCCCCACTCTTCAAACTTATGTATATCTCCATTCACCATTTTCTCCTGTATCACAGGATAAGGGACCCCAGGATATATAGTGGCTTATCCTTTATTCTCTCTCTCCTGGCACTTCCTCTGTGGATAAGCATGCCCAGTTAACACTTCTCTTACTCTTGCCCTCAGTGTTACCTTCCTTCTGTTTACCGCGTTAGCGTTTTCATCCCTTTTTATGACCAATCCTTTCTAAAGCATATTTCATTTTACTATATAGATAATCCATGTGGTAGAAGAATATTTAAATACAGAAAAGCAAAATAATAATAACATCTGCAATTTTTAATTTCATTTCACATCCTTCTAGAATATTTGTGTGTGTGTCTGTGTCTCTATGAGTCGGAATCGACTTGACAGCAATGGGTTAGGTTTTTTGTTTTATATGTGTGTGTGATTTTATACGTATCAAAACTGTAGAGAATAATGTATACTCTGCCTCCAATTTCTTGCAAACTATTCACTTTTCAACTTGCTGCAATTTGGCTTTCACCTCTAAACCTTTTTTCACTGTTTGGAAACTGCTCTTGTCAAATTCATCAAATGATCTCCTGATTACCACTTTGGGTGGGCATTTTTTCAGACCCTTTCTTATTTGATGTCTCTCTTTACTTAATTATGTTAAGTGTTGCTTCCTTTTTTTTTTTTTTTAACTGCTGCTTCCTTCTGAAACTCATTTCTCTCTTGATTTCTGTGACACCCTGGTTTTCTTTCTATCTCTCTGGCTACTCCTTCTCAGTCTGTTCTCCTGCTCCTTCAATCTATTCTCCTGTCTCCTGTAAATGTTATTTTAAACCCCCCAGAGTTCTGCTCATGATTCTCAATCATCTGATACTCTTCCATTGCCAGCCCCATCTATGGCTTTGATTTCAGTTATATCCAAGTGATTCCCATGTGTATATCTCCAACCTAGACCTCTATTTTGGACCCAGGTCAATTATCTCATTGTCTGCTTTATTTTTTTCACCTGTATCTCCTGACCAACCCACTGCCGTCGAGTTGATTCCGACTCATAGTGACCCTGTAGGACAGAGTAGAACTGCCCCGTAGGGTTTCCAAGGCTGTAAATCTTTACGGAAGCAGATTGCCACATCTTTCTCCCAAAGAGCAGCTGATGGGTTCGAACTGTGGTTAGCAGACAAACACTTTAATCACTGCACCACCAGTACTTACGAATTTCCTAAAGGCACCTCAAATTCAACAATGCAAATTAATTTTTTTCTCTTCCTATAGTCCCTGTCTTAGTTAATGTCACCACTGTCTGTCCAGCTGACCAAACTAGAAACTTGGAAGTCCTATTAGATGCATCGTTTTTCCTGAGCATTCCCATCTAGTCAGCAAAGTCTGTTGAATTCCCCTCCTGATACTTGTCCCATTTCTCCCATTCCTACTTCTGCTTGTTTGGTTCAGCTCATACTGTTTCTTGCCTACATTCTTGTAGCAGTCTCTACCTTGAATCTTACTCTTCTCTAATCCATCATCATCAGGATTCCTCCTAAAAGCAACCCTGAGTTTTGCAGAATCACTGCTAATTCCCAAATGCTAGTTCCCTGGCCTTTGCATATTTCCTTTCCTCTGCCTAGAGTGCCCTAAGCTGACTCCTACTCTTTAAGGTGCTCTCCAAGCTTTATCTTCCCCTGAGAAAACTCTCAGAGGTGTGTTGTTGTTGTTAAGTGCCATCAAGCCAGTTTTTGACTCATAGCAACCCCCTGTGACACAGTGGAACTGCCCCATAGAGTTTTCCATGCTATCATCTTTATAGAAGCAGATCACCCGGTCTTTCTCCCCTGGGGCCACTGGGCGGGGTCAGACCTCCAACCTTCTGATTAGCAGCTGAGCGCTTAACGTTGTATCACCAGGGCTCATTATACTGTGAGCTATATAATACATATATTTATTATCACTATATCTGTGATATCTGCCTCCTTCAGTTGTCTCCTCTCCCCTTTCCGTCTGTGAGCTTGCGAGCAGGAGGAGGGAGCATGAGCTTTCATTTTGAAATTAAGACCTGACGTATTACAGAACCACAGAAAATTACAATTACAGAAAATGTGGAAAATATGAAGTGAGTAGGAAGAAAAAACTCATCATCTTATCACCAATCTGTCTTTTTCCACATAGCATTTTTGTACTTTATTAAACTTGGTGTTGAGTACGTGTAGTTTTGTTTCTGTTGTATTTTTCACTTTAAATCGAGAGTTTTCTCATTGTTAATTCATAGTCCCCATGAGTTTTTAATGGCTGCAGAGAGCCTGGTTTGTGTGACCATTCCTAAATTGTATCGGAATGGACATCAAAGCATATAGTTGCCCCAATATTTGGAGTATTTTCCACCTTTAAGAGCGTCTCTTTAGAACAAATATAAAAAATTCTGCATCAGATTCTTGGCATTCTCTATTGCTGGCTGTCTTGATGTACGTATCCTTCTGTTCCTTTCCATAGAGAGCCAGCGTGGTGGCAAGGAGATAGCTTTTGTTTATTTAGCGTACAATTCAGTATGTCTTAGATATTTTCCCTGTTAGAGACATGGCATCTAAGATGTCACATAAATAATGCCATACAACCTAGAGATTTCATGGTACATACAGGTTTGCTTTGAACTAGCATTCCTGAAAGAACAGAGCTACTTCATATGCTGGTAACTTTGTTAACTGTGTCAACTTCTTTATTTCAGGATGACTGTCTTAGGTCACTAACAAGATTTGCAGCAGCACATTGGACAGTTGCATCACTTTCAGTGGTGCAAGGACACTTTTGTAAACTTTTTGCATGTGAGTGTTAATACATTTGCCATATATGTTATGGTCATTTCTCATCTACTGTAATTTTTGTTTTTAGTGGTTCAACTTCTCTCCATTATGAAAGAACTATTTTGAGATACTGTTTGTCTTATATTCAAGCTCTAGGTTATAAATTCATGTATACAGTGAAACCTGTGAGAGCTGGAACTCGATTGGACTGCTTTGTTTTTCCGGGTTTTACAAGTTTTCTGCCTCTGACAGGGTGTGCAGTCTTACCACTTTTCTGTAGCTCGTTTTAGCAAAAAATATTTGAGTTTTCTTTCTCTGACAGGTTTCCACCTTACACAGATTCCAGCTTTCACAAGTTTTACTGTATCTTACAAAAAGATAAATTTAAACTCTATTATATACATTTTTAAAATAATTTAATACTTCTCTTGGCATATGAAATGTACTAATGTATTTCTCTTTAAATGTTTAGCATTGGTGCCTAATGAGAACCATGGAGATCTTCCATGCATATTAGATATTGACATGTTTCATTTATTGGTGAGTATTTCACAACTTGGGTTTGAGGTTCTCTTTATTGTACTACATAGCTTTACCTTTGGCTTGGGGAGTAGTGTAGGGGCAGACAGGAGTTATCATATGACGTTACTATTACCACTTCTGATTATAATTTTCTTTCCTGAGGAGCTTCGAAAAGAAAATATTAAGGAACCTAGTTGAAACTCTTGAGCTGAGTTCAGGGCACTTAAATTCTAATCCTCCCTCTCTTATTTTCCTTTGTGGCTAAGGTCAATAATTTAACCTCACTGTGCTTTTTACCTATAATAAGGTAAAGATAATACCAGCAGCGTAAGGGCTGCTGCTGGTCCATACAGTGGTTTTGTGCATAGGATCTCTGTGGTCACACTCCTTAGCGACAGACAGCCCCTTCGAATGCGTTAGCGAAAGGTATGTCCTCCAAGCAGGTGCAGTCTAGTACCAGGGCACACAGCTGGGCAAGCAGCAGGTAGCTGAATTTCAGTTCCACCTCAGCTGTGCCCCCTTGTACAGGGCACAGAGTGCGCTACCACACAGAGCAGCCCCACGTACTGTCCCCTTAATCTTCCTGGGCTTCAGATTCTGTACCTATAAGTTGGTTAGTACCTACCTCATAAGACTGTGAGAACCCAGTGGGAACATCCATGTAAAGAGCTTAGAGCAATTTGTGCCTAATAAATGTTAGCTATTACTTGTTCCCATTGCTGCTACTAAAACTGCCACCACTAGCACCACCATGCTGGCAGCAGGAGGCTAACAAAAGAGCTAGCATATATTGTATATCTAAATGCTTTCACATACATTCTCTTTTAGTCCTTAATCCTTGCTACTGACATGTTAAAAACATGCATATATAATTTACCAATAAGGGAACTGAGGCTCAGAGATGTTAATTTGTCTAAGAAGCTCATAAGAGGAAGAGCTGGGAGTCATACCTAGATCTTTGTGGGTCCAAAACCTGTGCTTTTTCCACTGCTCACACCCTGGAAAGTTTCCAAGTACTGTTTTTATTATTATTAACAGTAAGCTACGTATCGGGACCACCGGATAAATGAAAGGATAGTGTCCATCAAGACCCCTTTAACGCTTACGTAATTTTCTTTAACCAGTCCTACTGGGATTTCTAACGTGTATACCGTTAAAGAACAAAGACTTTCTATGGAAAGAGGCTAAGCTCAGAAGGAGGTCACATTAAGAAAACAGAACCGTGTTTAGCTGGAGGGATAGGCAGTCTGTCTGACCTCCATGTTTGGTATCTAGGTGAGCTTGGTGCTTGCTTTCCCTGCGTTGCAGTGTCAGGATTTTTCAGGGATCAGCCTTGGCACTGGAGACCTTCACATCTTCCATCTGGTTACGATGGCACACATCGTCCAGATTTTACTTACCTCGTGTACAGGTAATGCTTTCCTTTTTCTTAGCTTCTTGAAGGAAATACTTGAGTTTTCTCAGTTTAAAAAAAAAAAGAGTATTATGATGAATAGGTACTTGGACAAGAATAACATATGAATTATAATTAGACTGCTTTTTGAAGCACATTTCTTTCTTCCATTAAAATCCCCTAGCAATGTGAATGTTCCTATACTTCTTATTTCATAAGTTCAGTAATATTTAAGTAGCATAGCGGTTAAGCCTGTTAGAATTTTAGATTTTAGAATGTCGGTTTTGTTTTCACTTACATGTTTGTTAATGCCCTCATGAGCTCATCATTAAATTATAGTTTGCATCCAAGCTTCCTGTTTTTAAAACATTTCAAGATAATGTATTTAGTGATTTTACCCCAGCAGTCCAGTTAGCACCCTAAAGCCTGATGACTTCCTCTCCCAAAGCCCACTGGCTCCCTGGTCTGATGGAGATCAATACTGTGTTCACACCTCAGATATTAAATTCTGTGTGTTTTGTGAGGGTGTGTTCATATTATGTGTTAGTGGATGAATATATTTGAGTGCTTAAATGATTTGGAAAGCAGTCATGTTGACAGCACTTAATAGGCCAATACTGAGTGCTAATTTTTCCTTATTTTTCAGAAGAGAATGGCATGGATCAAGAAAATCCCACTGGTGACGAAGAATTAGCAGTTCTTGATTTGTATAAAACACTTCGCCAGTATACAGGAAGGTGAGATCATAATTTTTACATAATAGACATCTCCCCAAATATTAGTGGGTGATAACATGAAAAAGAAATTGAGTCATTAGGTAAAGGAAATTGCTGTCTATTAATGTATTTAAAAAAGAAGATAGGTGATGTTTGTACAGCATGGTGATTGTAATTAATGTCACTGAATTATACACATAAAAATGGCTGAAATGGCAAAGGTTTTGTTATTTACCATATTTTACACAGATAGCGCATGCCTTCTGTGTTTCTTTGTCTGCCATGCCCTCCCCCCAGGAGGTATTTGCATAAGCACACTATGCTAGTTTCTTTTACAGCAACTTGTGGAAAAGGATTGGCATGGCAGCACTTGTGAGGGCACCACTCACGGCAGGAGGGTGTGGCCCGCAAACAAACAGAAAATGCACGTTATTTGTGTAAAAACACGGTATATATTACCACAAAATTTAAGGAAAATAAAAAAAGGAGGAGGAAGTGGGAAACATGATTGGTGGGACTTCGCAGAACTCTTACTATACTAACATATGTTGGGAATCTCTGAGAGAGATGTAATATGCAGAGCTTCCCAAATTTATCTAACCATAGAACCGTTTTGCTCAGAGGATCTGGCATGGACTAATGGAAAGATGGAGCATACTTTGGAAATTGCTATTCTCAACATCTTTTGTCTCACTAGGAATAAAAAATTTGTAAATTAGCATAATATATTTTGTAAGGTAATCTAGGACTAGCCAAAGTGCAGTAAAATTATTAGAAATTCACATATTGTTGGAGTCCTTGTGATTTGATGCAACACTTTCACTTAGCTTTTTGACAGTAAATGTGAATAACCTGTAAAAATATTTTTTCTTTGACTGTTATCCCATTTCTGAAAACCCACACTAACAAAATAGTCCAACATATAGAAAAACTTATAGACATAAAGATGTACACTCTGATATTACTTGTATTAGCAAAGCATTGAAAGCAATGTAAGTGTTTGATTACGAGGGAATAATTTGGTATCAGGATGATTGATGTGTTCCAGAATATTATAAATCCATTAAAAGTTACAGTTTATTAGAAGAACTAGATGGTGCCTGGCTACCACCAATGACCGCCCTGACAGGGAACCCAGCAGAGTCCCTGATGGAGCAGGAGAAAAGTAGGTTGTAGAACTTAAATTCTAGTAAAAAGACCAGACTTAATGGTCTGACTGAGACTGGAGGAACGCCAGAAGACATGGCCCCTGGACTCTCTGTTAGCCCAGAACTGAAACCATTTTCGAAGCCAACTCTTCAGACAAAGATTAGACTGGACTGTGGGACATACAATGATACTCGTGAAGAGAGTGCTTCTTAGCTCAAGTAGATATATGAGACTAAATGGGCAACTCCTGTCTGAAGGCGAGATGAGAAGACAAAAAGGGGCAGGAGCTGGTTGAATGGACACGGGAAATCCAGGATGGAAAGGAGGAGTGTGCTGCCACAGTATAGGGAGAGCAGCTAGTGTCGCATAGCAATGTGTGTATAAATTTTTGTATGAGAAACTGACTTGAACTGTAAACTTTCACTTAAACCACAATAAAAAAAATTTTTTTTAAAGTTATAGTTTATGAAGTTCTGAAGCACATTAATTTTAAATTTCATTTATTATAGTTACATCTATGTAAAACAAATTAGTGTGAAAATAATGTACCAGAATAATACCTGTTGATAGAAGGTACTGGAGTAGTTGATGGTTTTTTATTTTCCCAATTTTCTCTTTATGTGGCTGTATCACTTTTATAAATTTTAATAATAGCATTGGTGGCTATATCACCAATTTGTACCTGACATCTTCTAGTAGTCAGGGCTACTGCTAGTCGGCTAACTCACCTCTTAAGCACATGTACCATCAATTCCAAATAGCAGCCATCTCTGTTTTCACACTGCTCTAGCTAGAATGACCTTTTCTTATTAAATTTCCCAATAATTACTTTTCTCTCTTGTAGTGCCTTGAAAGAAATACCCTCAGCCTGGCATTTGTGGAGGAGTGTCAGAGCTGGAATCATGCCTTTCCTGAAGTGTTCTGCTTTGTTTTTTCATTACTTAAATGGAGTTCCTTCCCCATCTGAAGTTCAAGGTAATTTCTGATTTCTTTCATAATGTAGGAGGTGTTTGTAGTCTTTCACCCTAAAAATTGAGAATTAAAAATGACTTGCAAAAATGAGGGCCAATTTAGCGTTGTTCACAATAGCAAAAAGTTGGAAACAACCTAGATGCCCATCAACAGATGAATGGATAAACAAACTATGGTATATATACACAATGGAGTACTATGCAACGAGAAAGAACAATGATGAATCTGTGAAGCATCTCATAACATGGATGAAACTGGAGGACATTACGCTGAGTGAAATAAGCCAATCACAAAAGGACAAATATTGTATGAGACCTCTATTGTAAAAACCCATGAAAAACTTTACACACAAAAAGTAACAATCTTTGTTGGTTATCAGAGATGGCAGGGATGGGGGCGGAAATACTAAATAGGCAATAGATAAGTGGTATCTTTGGTGAAGGGTGAGACAGTACACAATACTGGGGAAACCAGCACAACTTCTACAAGGAAAGGTCATGGAAGCTCCCTAGACACATCCAAACTCCCTGAGGGACTGAATTGGTGGGCGGAGGGCTGTGGGGACCATGGTCTCGGGGAACATCTAGCTCAGTTGGCATAACACAGTTTATAACGACAGTGTTCTACATTCTAGCTTGGTGAGTAGCGTCTGGAGTCTTAAAACCCTGTGAGCAGCCATCTAAGATACTCCACTGGTCTCATCCCTTCGGGAGCAAGGGAGAATGAAGAGAGCAGGATACAAGGAAAAGATTAGTCCAAAGGACTAATAGACCACAGCTACCAGGGCCTCCACCAGACTGGGTCCAGTACAGCTAGATGGTACCTGGCTACCACCACTGACTGCTCTGACCGGGATCACAACAGAGGGTTCTGGACAGAGCTGGAGAAGATGTAGGACAAAATTCTAACACACAAAAAAATGAGATTTACTGGCCTAAAGGAGACTGGAGAAACCCTGAGAATATGGCCCCCAGACACCCTTTTGCTCAGTGGTGATGTCACTTCTGAGGTTCGCTGTTTGGCTGGGGATTGGACAGCCCCATGAAGCAATGCAGGACTGGTGGGGCACAGCAGTTCGGGGACGGGCTGGGGGCAGAGGGGGATGGGGGAGCTGGTGATGGGGAGCCCAAGGTTGAGTAAGGACAGTGTTGATGTGTTGTGAGGTAGTTGGCCATTGTCGTAGGGCAACATGTGTACTAACTATTTGATGAGAAACTATTTTGTTCTGTGGACCTTCATCTAGAGTGAGAATGGCAGCACAATCGGAAGAGTGTAGTCGATGTCTCTGAACTGTGCATATAGAAATTTTTGAAATGGTGTGTCTTTGGCTATGGGTGTTTTCACCAAAAAAAAAAAAAAGAAGGTTGAGAAGGGAGAGGGTTGACATGTCATGGGGTTGTTAACCAATGTCATAGAACAATATGTGTGCTGCTGTTTAATGAGAGGCTGTTTGTTCTGTAAACCCTCACCTGAAGTGTAATAGAAAGAAAAAAAAAAATGGGCCAATTAAAAATGTTAGAACACAGCTTATTGACTATGATGATGTTCATTCACATTTATAGAATAAAAATGCATATTTGTGTATAAATCTGATTTTATTTGGATCTCAGTAAATGTGCTGTTAAACATTATTAAATAATAATTACACATGAATCTGATTTTAATGTGGGGATTGATTTGCTCTTCCACACTTTTTTCCATATTCTGTTTTGATTCATTGCATAAAAGGAGTATAAAGGTAGATTGAAAATTTATTGTATCTCTGTATTCTCATAGCACCTGGCACCAGAGGGTCTTCATGTAATGCTGCTCTTTAAACTTATTGACTGGCACCTTTATTCACCCAGTTGCCCAGGCACTATATAGAAGAGTGTAGACTTCCAAATTTGCAATGGTGATTACAGTTACTGTTTAAATCTACCTATCATGATAAAACCATCTTGTATTTCTGTTTTGCTTTATACTTTTCCAGAGGATCTATACATTATTTTTTGTCATTTAATATTTGAAATAGCCCCATGAAGTAGATCATGCAGGTATATATACCATTTTACAAATGGTAAAGCTGAGACACCAGAAAATTGTGACCTGTTTGGTGTAGGAGTTGTCAGACTCCACTCTATCCATGTGTCATTTTCCGTGGAGTCCTACCCAGTGCCATCCTGTTATCTTGCTAAGTTATGTATCTAGAAAATTTGAACTCTTGTATTTTGGTTGAATGAAGCCGTCCTACTGCTTGCTTCCATGCAGGATCTACTCTTACTTGTTACAAGCATTAAATTTTTCTTCTTCTACATTTGCAGTTATTGGAACAAGCCATTTTGAACATTTATGTAGCTATCTTTCTCTACCGAAAAACCTCATTTGCCTTTTTCAAGAAAATAGTGAGATAATGAATTCACTGATTGAAAGGTAATAATTATACATTTTACTTCATTATATTGAATATTTATACAGAACCAAACTTTATTACATATTTGACAAAATTCTCAGGTAGTGAGCCCGGCAGAATTCAATCCATGTAATTTAGACTATAATGATTAGACCTTCTTAGCTCTAAGGGTTTACCTTTGTGGTAAGATTTTTGCCAAGCTAGACAATAGCATGAACAGATTTGCATGGAAATAAACATTTCTACCTACTAGTTTATTCATAAGGACTTTGTTCCATAGATACTTGGAGCGAAAGAAACTCAGTTATCTAGTCAATACCCTTACTTTATATTTGAGAAAATTGAAACCTAGAGAAAATTGACTTGTTTAAGAATCATGTCAAGTTAGTAACTGAGTTAAGATTAAAACATGAGTGTTCCAGCTCCAGATAATATGAGTTTGTCATTAATTCAGACTGGCTTTTCCAGAGTGTCCAAATTAGTTGGGTTATAGCACATGTAGTTGCAAATTAATATATCGAGTCACAGGTCACATTCTTCTGATTTTAAAAGTTGCAGGCAAGGTATGGAATTTCTTCCATATCTTTTGGTTAGGCAAAGTATATCATAGTAACCCAAGAAGGTTTTTTTTTTTTTTAATTACTGGTTTAGAAGGGGAAAAATTCTTTTAGCCCTTTAAAAGTAAAAATGTTTTGGTTTTTTTCCCCGCCCCCCCCCCCCCCCCGTTTATATTCAAGTTGGTGTCATAACAATGAAGTTAAAAGATATCTAGAAGGTGAAAGAGATGCTGTAAGGTAAGTTAAAGATTATCAAAGACTTGGTTGGGGTGGGAGGTAGGGAGAAAGCAGGATGTAAGTGTTGTATTCCTTCAAAACTGACTTCCCAAGCCTTCAGTAATTCCAAGAGATAGGACTTCTTGCCCTCATACTTTTTTCTTATTAATCTAGTGATGAGAATTTGTGAAAGCCTCAGAATTGTGGATATAAATAACGATATAGTGCATTATTCTTGGCAGAGGAAACAAAACTATTATATTTTGGAATATTCGCTTTTTAAAAAATGTAGGTCCCTTTCTAGGTTTTTTTTAGCCCTCCGTTTTCTTTTTTTTTTATATCTTTTATTACAGAAAATTTCAAACTGTCCAAAATTAGAGAGAATTGTATAATGAGGGCCTATGTACCTGTCACTTAGCTTCAGTAATTATCAAGTCATGGCCAGTCATTTTTATGTTTACAGTTTGTTTGAACCAGGATCCAAAGAAGGTTTATATACTGCAATTCGTTGGTATGTCTCTTAGGTCTCTTTTAAGCTCTTGATTCCTCTTTCTGTTTATTTATTGAAGAAATGGAGTCATTTGTCCTGTAGAGTTTTCTGCAGCCTGGGTTTTTCCGATTATGTCCCCATGGTGCTGTCGTGTTCTTCTACAAGCTGTTCCCTATAATGAGCTCTCATACGCTGGATCAGGTTCAGGTTCAGTTTTTGTTGTCCCAGTAATACTTTACAGATGGTATGTATACTTCATGAGAAGGCACAAAGTGATGTCAGATCATCTCTTTTTGTGATGTCACTAGCCATTGATAATTTTATTGGGTTGAACCATATGGAAATTCCAGTTTTTGTAAATCAGGTATGGTTGAATATAAGCAATTCCTTATGGCTCAACCCTATAGTCAAAAAATTCAGTACAGTAGTTCTCAATTTGAAGTGCATATCAGTATAATGTAGTTGTGTGCTGTCGAATTGATTCTGACTCATAACAACACTACAGGACAAAGTAGAACTGTCCCATAGGGTTTCCTAGGCTATACTCTTTACAGGGGCAGATCACCAGGTCTTTTCTCCCATGGAGCCACTGGTAGGTTTGGACCGCTGGCCTATCCGTTAGCAACTGAGAGTGCTTAACCATTGTGCCATCAGGGCTCCTTATTATAACCTAGGAAACTTCTAAAAAAATACTCAAGCGCCTACCTACCAAATCCAGTTTCTGTAAAATTGGGGTCTGTGGAGTAATGGAAAACAATTTTGGCATTTGTCCTTGCTTTCTGTGAAGTAACCCTGGGAGTAATTGATGTTCCTTTATCTGAAACCTCCAGACTACACCTGAGGATTTGTGCAAACGAGTGGGGATGGCCAGACTAAAAAGGATTTACCTGGTAGGCCAATTCAGCTAACTTCAGGAGGCATGATTTAGTCTTTCATGCATATGCATGAGGGCTCAATCATGACTGGCTGATAAAAGCCCTAAACACAGAGGCTCAGAGCTTCCTGGTTGATGAAGGGAGGGTGACGCACCCTCTTTGGGACATGGAAGCTCCCAAACTTCGCCCATGCGTTTCTTCCTAATGACAGTCATGTTTTGTATTCTTTTGCTATAATAAATCTATAGCTGTAAGTATAGTACTTCCTGTGAGTTCTGTGAGATGTTCCAACTAATTATCAAACCCAAGGAGTAGGGTACGGGGAGCCAGCACATGAAAATGAGGGAACCCAAGGAGGCCCCTGAGCTTGCAGCTGGCATCCTGATGGAGTAGTGGGAAAACCTCACATCTGTGGCCAGTAGACCAGAAGTTTGGGGTGTTGTGTGAACTCCCCAAACTTGCAGCTGGCATCTGCCTATTTAGCAGTCTGAAGGACAGTGTGTCCTTTTAACTTGAGAGGTCTACCCCAGCTCTGAGTGGCTAGGGTCAGAGAGAAAGTACTGTGTGGGCAGCTGGTATCAGAAATGATGAAGTGGGAGGTGGGGATTTGATTACTCCTCACATTCGAGCATCGGATTTCTGCTGATATTACCCACAAAGGGTCCCAGCATGTATAATCCCCCAACGTTCCCCAGGTGGTTCTCATGTGTAACCCTGACCAAGAACTACTGTTTGTAAAGTTTTACCCCCTCAGGTTAAATCCATTTCTTATATTTTTAGTAGGTGAAGTACTACCTCATCTCTCATGCTGGGCAGGTGAAGTGCCTAACACTGAGACAAGTTCCTCAAGTGCTTAGTTGAATTTGGATTTAAATTTTGTCTGAATTAACTTGAGTGACAGAATCAAAGTGGCACGATATCTCTAATTTAAGGAAAATCCATCTACTACTGCCTTCTCTCCTCCAACTCATTCCTGCCTTAAAAAACCTACTGCCGTCAAGTCAATTCCGACTCACAGCAACCCTATAAGACAGAGTAGAGTGCCCCATGGGGCTTCCAAGGAGTGGCTGTGGATTCGAACTGGCCAACCTTTTGGTTAGCAGCCGAGCTCTTAATCACTGCACCACCAGGGCTCCTAATAAGCCTACATATCCTTTCTGTCTTCTAGATCCTAAGTTCTGTGGTTGGGCTCTACATTACTGTGTTGATTAGGTAGAAGCCCAGGGGTAAATACCCTTTTCTGCCCCTCACCTACTTCCCAGAGCTACTAAATTTGCACTTAAATGGGGCAGATACAGGAGCCCTGGTGGTGCAGTGGTTAAGCACTCAGCTGCTAACTGATAGGCCCATGGTTTGAACCCACCAGCCACTCTGTAGGAGAAAGGTGTGGCAGTCTGCTTCCGTAAAGATTTACAGACTTGTAAACCCTATGGGACAGTTCTACTTTGTCCTGTAGAATCGCTGAGTCAGAATCAACTGAACAGCAGTGGGTTTGGTTTCGAGTTGGGGCTGATAGTGAGTACCATCACTACTGTCCTGTTAATTTATTCTGAGCTCTTCAAGTACAAATGCCCTAATGCATGGTGCCATTAAGGTGCTTTTTTTTTTTTTTTTTTTTT